GCTTGTTCATATCTGAAAATGTACAAAGAATAGCACATTTTAAAGATTTATTTTGCAGTAGAGTTAATTATTATTAAAACTCAAACTTAAACCCATATAATATAATATAATATAATATAATATAATATAATGTAGCCCACCTGTCCCTGCACTGCTCTGCTCTGAGCTTGATAATCTCTGCGTTGTGTGTGATAAATAATCGGTTGCCGGTGTTTATTGCCACAGGAACACTGTTACAGACGGTACAGCAACTTATTGTGACCGTATAGTTACAATTTCATATTAAGGAAAACCATTTAACATGTTTAGTGGCATTAATCTCCCTCCCACCAGTAGCAAACTCTATATTTTACAACAAGAAAAATCATTAAATTTCAACAGGCGAACACTGACATACAATTGGCTCTGTGGTACCAAAAATCATAATACAAAAGAAATATACACACAAAACAAATGGAAAGTTCACATACCTGTTCAAAGATAAAGTCAGTACAGCAACTTATTGTGACCTGGCTCCTCCATGCAGAGCCTTTAGAGAACAAACAGCGAACCGCATGAGAAGCCGCCTTGATGCTGCGACAACCTAGCCTAACATCGGTAAGTTAGCATGTCACAAAAAGTGCTGTACTTCACAAAACCGACTGTACACTCCCGTAACAACTAACAAAAAGCAATTAAACAGCGTCTGCGAATCTAACAAAACCACTGTGAACCGCTGCTTAACACTTTTTAAACATATTTCAACTTATTGTAATGGGAGCAACACTTAATACTCACTTCTCCTCAGCGGTGTCCCGCGGGAAGAGCGCGAATCGACAGGTAGTGACGTCCGTGAAAGAGCAAAGATCATTTAAGAAAATAAAAGTCTTTTCAAAATAAATTACAAAAATACACAGAATTATGCACACACACAAAAAAAATAAAAACAAAATATACACAAGAGCAAGAGGATGGATCTTTGGTAAAACAGACATAAATAAACAAAAATAACAAAATATAATATAATATAACATAATATAGACTTTCACCTTAAACTAATTTACCTAAGTAGTACTCAATGTGTTTCTCATTCACCCATTCACATACAACAAGTTCCCTGAGGTTTGCACCAAAGGGATCAATAAAGTTCTCTTCTATTCTATTCTATCTACAACAATGGCAACAGAGCAATCATGCAAGGCACTTGCCTGCCATTGGGAGCAACTTCAGGTTCAGTGTCTTGCCCAAGGACACTTCGACTGTGGAGGAGGGGGGGTTCAAAACACCAGCTTTGCGATTGGACGACAACCACTCTGCCACCTGAGTCACAGCCGAAAGTAAGTATAAGCATTAAACACTAGTGACGATCCATTTAAACCTGTAGCTCCAGCGCATAAGTCCAAAAAAACCAACACTCGAGTCTTGATTTGTTCGGCCACAGTCACTTGATCAAAACTTTATGTGGTGTGTCACTGCTTCAGGTACCCAATTCAATGGTTTATAAGGAAGTGAATCATTGGTGGGATGTGTGGTGTGTTTTGGTGGTGATTTTTGTGCGAGGGATAGCGATCCGGTGAGCGATGTACCGAGAGACATGGAGCCAGCGGGGAAAAGAGGGCGTGCTGCCATGAGTTGATTTATATATAATTTTTAATGTATTTTTATTATTTATTATGTCTACTCTATAGCTCTCAACTCAACTCTGTAGAGAGGGCAACCATAACAGAGCACTTCATTTCAAGTTGCAGATCGAAGCTGCTCTTCATATTTTTGTCACCGGTGATGAGTTGCAGGTGAACACGATCAGGTGATTATCCAATGAGTGTGAAGTGGCAGGAATGAGAATTAGCACCTTCAAGTCCGAGGCCATGGTTCTCTGCCAAAAACTGGTGGATTGCTCTGTTCGAGGAGGGGGGGTGGGTTGCTTCCCCAAGTGAGGGAGTTTAAGTATCTCAGGTCTTGTTCACGAGTGACTGGAAAATGAAGTGTGAGGTGGACAGGTGGCTCGGTGCAACAGTAATGCAGGCATTGTACCGGACCGTCGTGGTGAAGAGGGTTAAGCTTGATTTACCAGTCCACCTACGTTCCAACCCTCATCTATGGTCACGAGCTCTGAGTAGTGACCAAAAGAACGAGATTGCAGATACAAGCGGCTGAAATGAGCATCCTCTGAGGGGGGCTGGGCTCAGCCTTAGAGATAGGATGAGGAGCTCGGACATCCAGAGGGAGCTCGAAGTAGAGCCGTTGCTCCTTCATCATCATCAGGAGTCAGTTGAGGTGATTTAGACATCTGATTCAGATGCCTCCGCGGAGGCTTCCTTCGGAGGTTTTCCGAGTATGTCTGCCTGGAAGGAGATCCTGGGGCGGACCCAGAACCTGCTGGAGGGATTATATTTCTCAGCTGGTCTGGGAACACCTCGTGATGCCCCAGAAAAAACTGGAAAGTGTTGCATGGGGAGGGAAGTCTAGAATGACCTGCTCCACCTTTTGCCTCCACAACAAAATGGATGGACGGATGGATAAAAAACATACATGTTCGAAGCACCACAACAATAGTCCCGATATCAGACAGAGTTGTCACATGATATCAAACAGAAGCTGTCAACTCAGCACTGAAGAGAGGGCAACCATAACTGAGCAGTTCATTTCAAGCTGTAGATTGAAGCTGCTCTTCATACTTTTGGCCACCAGATGCCACCAAAGAGGAGTGTGTTGAAAAGCTTTGAGTAATAAACCCTTTTTTGATACAAGCTTTGGAAAGCTTCATTAAGCCATCACTAAATGTTGGTCTAGGTTGACTGAGCAGGTCAACGGTCTGGCTGTGAGTGGTGGTCTGAGCTCAGCTTTTATTGTCACAGGTGATGAGTTGCAGGTGAGCATGATCAGGTGATTATCCAATGAACTTAAGCTGCGCGCGCACACACACACACACACACACACGTCGCTCATGCCCACATGAGAAGAGGAGGAAAGGAGGGAAAGGAAAAAGGAGAAGCAGCTTGTTTCTCACATAAGCTTCACAAACGAGTGCAAGAAACACAACAGGTTGATTCTAAATGACTTACAAAATAGTTGTAGATTGTTCACTACCAGTCATCATGACAAATATATTCATTGCTTAGCTTCTTTGGTTTGGAGGTGAAGACTGACATATGTATGACCTTTGCTAAACTGTTAGTACGATACGACAACAACAAATAATCTTTAAGTGTTTTCAACCACACAGGTGACTGACAGAAGACTGACATTTCTTTACACTAGTTTTAAAGAGATTCCAGCTTCAAATAGATGCATTTATATTTCTGACAATATATATGAACTCAAACTCAACGTATTCACAGTAAATTCTACATTTTCTACTGATTTCTTATCTGAAAATTCAGTGATTAGTGTTACATATGTACGTCTGAGTTTTGATAACTGTTGTTTAAGTTTTGATTAACTAACTGCTGAAAAATAAACCTTCAGAATGTATTATTCTTTATACATTTTCAGAAATTATCAAATAACCAACAAGCACACAGGGACAAAGTCAGAACTCTGCTTTATTGAATATTCTGCTCAAGAAGAGAACAAACATGTCTTGGTCTTATAGCTTTGGAGCTACAGGCAGAGGTTTTCTTAGTGGTACACTTGTCGACAATTGTTAGTTAATTCATTAATATCACTTCAAACTACATGTCTCACTTAGAAATTTTCCCCAAAACAAAGCATTTCAGGTGAATTAGGTGTTCGTCAGCGTATCTGAGAGTCGTGACTGACTCAGCTGCGACCGACGCATGCTGCGTGGCTCAAAAACAGTGTGCAGAGGAGCAAGTTGTCAGCTGGAAGGTACATTCAGCATGGTTGTGCTGTTTCCACTGAGCTCCAGGACTTTACATCACACAGAAGAATGAGCCAACAGTGAGTAAATATGTGACAGGAGCAACAAAAACACCCAGAAAAAGTAAGAAATGTATTAGTTTCTTATGTTGTCATTAATATAACCGCAACCCAAAGTCCTATCATCCCCTATGATATTCAGTATATACTCTTAAATAACTGGTTACACAAATAAATGCTTTGCATGAGCCTATGAATGTGGCAAATTTGCAATATATCTAACATTGATTTATTAGTGTCTAAAGTGTAATCATGTAACATTCAAACAATTTTGCAAAGCTAATAACTTTTAATCAACAATAATAAAAACTATAGGATGCATATGATCCATTAGCATGAAGTTTAAGGTATAACTGATTATTCATGTATGCAGCCCTGTGTATGGAAAAAGCATAATTAATGAGCACAAACCTGATTAAGAAGAAGGTCGTGCACAGGAATCAAAATAGATGAAAAAGAGAAAAATATGAATTTATAGTGCACACAGTTATGTGACATTTTCAGTTGGGAAACATAACCAAATCTAAGCCTAAGATCACATTTTATCAAAATTGCTAATTTTTGCAATCGATGATGGAGAAAAAAAAGGTTAATGTTCTCATCATAACATTTTGAGACAAGCCATGGTTTCAGATTTAGCGGCATTAAGTTCAAATTTGTTGTTTATGTCCCTAAAACTGAGCTGTGTGCAAAATGTTGAATCAGTCTAACTAGATGGGACACAGGGCAACATAGTTCCTATATTGACGAGCCCAGAAACCAACATAAACGGGCTCTGTGAACTTGGTGCGGAAGGTGTAGAGGTGATTCAGTGTGTTAGAGGTGACGCCATAGAAGGACAGAGTGCCGGCACCCCAATCCAGATACACCCCAATCCTGCTGCTTTCAGGGGGTGGATAAGGGCCTCTCCACACCTCACCATCATGCCAGGCATTGTGCGCGTACCTCTCACCAAAAAACCAGGAGATGGAGTTACACCCGAGCCCTGAGCTCTCATAATCTCCTTTCCTCTCAATTCCTTTGTATGTAACGGCGACACCGACATCACTCTCAGTGAATTTGCTCCACTCCACCTCCCAGTAATGGCGCCCAGTCAGCAACTCTCTGCACAGAACCTGTGGACGTGTGCCGAATCTCTCTGGCTGATCAGAATAATTCTGCCATGGTCCACATGTTGCCTTGTTGTTCCCGTCAGACAGCGTGAGATAGCCCCCAACTGTGTTTGGATCCAGGGTCAGATCACAGGCATCTGATGGAGAGGACAAAACACAATTTGTTCTTGTTCACAATATCTTCAGTTATTTAAAAGAAAGTCTTACATTTTAGATTTACATTTCTTTTTTTTCCCTTTTTTTTTTTTTATAACATTAGTAATTTTATAGAATTTTTCAGTCAAATCTAAACTTATAGTTATGACAGTGCATCCAAATCACTGTATTTTGCATGTTTGCAATAAATAATTTCTTCGAACCATCCATCCATCCATTATCTATACACCACTTAATCCTCACTAGGGTCATGGGGGGCTGGAGTCTATCCCAGCTGATTCAGGGTGAAGGCAGGTTCATCTGGACAGGTAACCAGTCTATCACAGGGCTACACTTAGAGACAGACAACCAAGTACACTCACTTCGGTTGAAGTGAAGCAAAGTACTTACACCAGATCAAATCTCTTCTGTCTCTTACTGTCGTCACATCAGGGATGTTGAACTTTGAAAAATCATCAGTGATCAAGATTCCATCCCTGTAGTGGTAGATGGTTGCTCCTTTGTATTTGCTGTCTGGAACAGCGGCCACAAAGAAGTGGAATTTGCTGCAGCTTTTTAGGGCTTTAGCGAGGTCACGGAAAGCTCTGGCTTTTTTTCTCATGTTGGCAAAAACATCCTGTGAGGAGTACCACCGCTCTTGCGTTGGTGGAGTGAAGGTTGTAGTGCTTTCATCTTCACATGAATGTAAGTAGTCGGCCATCTGTTCGAGGTGGGGATCATCGCTTTCCAAGGAAGTGAAAATGAAGCAGAGAACTTCATCTGCTCCTGGAGTGCGAACCTCTCTGTCAAAGTTGGACCGATTACTGACCACCTTTACCCCTGCAGCCTCTATTATCTGTTTACAGGCCCTGATGATGTTGATTTCTTTTTCCTTTTCTTCCAACCACTTGCTCAAGTTGTTCTGACTGAATGGCGACTTCTTTCTGTCATCAAAGAGTTTCTCCACTGAAGCCTCCTTTTCTTTACCTGCACGAATGGCAGGAAATTTCTTCTCCATGTTTCGTCGGAGTACAGCTCTGTAATCACTGCACAGGTCTTGGAACTTGCTCAGTGTTTTGTGGAGTTGTGGAAAATTCTCAACCACTTTTTCGTCCAGGGAGTCAGAGCATCTCATTTCTGCTTCATTCATCTCTTCTAGAGTGTCGTGAGCCTTCCTCAGTAGCCCTATGCAGATCTCGGCTTTCAGTTCTTCAGCTGCGAAGTCAAAGCTCTTGAGTGGCATCAGCGTGGCCTTCAGTGGAACGCCCTCTCCCAGTATCGTGGGAAGCTGAACGTAGGCCTTGACTGCATCTTCAAATGTTGCAGGGTTGCTTTCAAGAATGAAGTCTCCATAGAATTTACAGGAGAATTTCTGAATCTGGGTGTTTTCTTCATGAGTGAATTGGGTGTCAACTTTTGCCTCAACATTAAGTTTAGGGATCTTGTTTATCACAGCGTGCATGCCGGCCTGGACGTCCTGAATGCTGCTGGCCTCCAACTTCTCGCTGTCAAACACAAAGAAAGCATTCGCTCCATAAAGGATACCGGTGACGACGTGAGTCGCAGAGATGGTCGGAGGAATCACTGCCTGTTTGTCCTTGGCTTCTTCATGAGTCACTAAGAACTGCTTGGAGTTGGTGGTAGCTTTGTACTGAAGTGTCACTCTGCTCTGATTCTTGAATTTCTTCTTGTCATCCAGATACTTGGCAGATCCTCCAACTTCAACCAGTCCACCCATGTAACTGGCCTTCAGAGAAGCTTCAACACTCAGCAGGGAGGACTTGGAGTCAGTGGAATCTGACTCAGTAACTTCAAATGTGCTGCTGTGCTGAGAGATTGCATTCGTACTCTTCTGTAGAGTTTCTTTATCCCACAAAGAAAATCCTATCGAAAACAGAAAGCAATATAGATCCGTTAACAGAGATAAATAATCGTAGTTCCTTTTACACCAGATGCAACAAAATGGCCTCTTAGAGGCAGAGCAGCTCAACATGGTGCTGAAAACAAAACATCTAACACAATAGCACCTAATAAAGCTGAGTTTAGTTAGTTAATTAGTTTCTCTACAATTCATAAAATAGAATTCATAGGAATATTTTACCTATGAATATTTTTACCTCTATGGAGACAACAGACAGTTATAATGCCATAAATTACTAAAAACACAACCCTCCAAAAAACAAACAAAAACAAAAAATCTCTAACAATTTTCTCCTCAAGTCATCATCAACTTGTCAAGGTTTATGTCACCACATCTTAACTGAATATGGTCAAAGGGCAAAGTGTAAAATAAGTCATCTCCTGTTGCCAGCAGGTGGCACTATGCAAATGGATTTTGGCATATGGATGTGATCAGGGCAGCAGTCTGATCAACTGTGTGAAGTTTGAGGCAGATTAGAGCATGTACAGGGTAGTTAGACAGCTCTTCCTTTTAGTGGCAAATCATCAAACTTCAGTGGGCTGCCACAGCCACGCCCTTTGACTTTGGCGGAAGATAGCTCTTAAATATGATGAAAAATAAGCAAAAATCTCACAAACAAATCAAAATGGTGGATGTCCTGTTGGGTTTAGGGTATGGCGTCCACAGACATTTTTGTGCAGCCTGATGTGCTACACTGTAGTGCTTACAACACACATTCTGTTATACTGGAGTATCAGTTAAGACTAATGCAAGTAGAACCTAATCATGTCCAACACTTCCATCTACAGTCATAACAAGACTGGCTGGAAGTTTCTACAGTCATACCGTCAAAGAACCCCCGATCCCACTGACTGCTTCATAGGGCATGTTATTTTTAAAACAAACCAAAAAAAGGCCTCAATTACATCATTTATTAGCTAGAAATTATAAAAAATAAATAAATTTAAAAAAAGCGAAACAATCATCAGATTTTCAACTTTCCAACAGTCCTTTAACTGCTCATCTGTGATGTGCCGTTCAGTTGGGAAAAAGAACCAGATCCAAGTTTAAAATTGTGGTATTGCATCAAAATTACTTTAGTCTTTGTGTCTCATTTAAGATTAGACTGTTTACACAAAACAGATTCTGTAAAAAAACAAAGAAATTATTTAATCCTCGTCGTAACTTTGAAATTTTTAGTCAATAAGCTGTAACAACCAGTGACAAGATAAAAATCCAGGAACTTTTTGGCTGAACTATGTACAGTTTTGGCCTGTTTTTTAGGGCAAAGGTGTAAATGAATACCTTTTTCTGTAATTTTCTATTTATTGTGGTGTAATTTAACGGAACACAAAATAATTTGTAAGATAACTGCAATAATCTTAATAAATGGCAGATAAAAACTGTTAAACATTCATTTTTACTGTGTCGGCTCCTGAAGAAATGCAGCTTTCCATGTACAGATGTTCACATCTTACCTGAGTACAGCTTGTCTCTGCGAGCATCATACAGCATCCCCAAACTGAAAGGTCGACCCAGTGCAGCCACATGAAGCTGACGTGAAGCCATTTTCTGACCTGAAAGAAAACACCCAACAGCATGTGTGTGTGTGTGTGTGTGGATATATATACATATATATGGTATGGTATTATCACACGAACATGTAATGCCTGCATTTTTGCACTTACATACGAAACACATCATAAACATATTCTTCAAACTATCCAGTCTACAGTCCAATACCCACTTGCGCTGTAGATGCTTAGTTTAGTTTAATTGCTTTAGCGATTATTGCAAGAACTGATGGCAGCTCTTCCTCTGCAACATTATGCTTCAAAAAAAAACAAAAAAACTTGGACTTTAAATTATTAGAAGACATCAGGTCACTGCAAACTACTGCATTGTTGTTGTTTTTTTTGACAATTATTCCACATTGTTATCTTAACAATGCATTGCTACAAATAAAATCTCTTTCTTAGTTAACTCTTTCTCCTATAAAGTTTGTCCTCACCTGGTGAAGTCGTGTAGATCTGCGGAGTTGTGTTAGTCTTGCTGACGTCTCTCTGGAGTTTCCAGTCTGACACTTTATGCTGTTTCATGGATGCTTTTATCCTGCTGTGTGCTGTCTGACTCCTCCTCCAGCACACCCCCAGCTTTTACAGATTTTGCATGTTTCTGAGTTCAGTTTATCACTTTTTTCAATTCCACAGAACAACCGTACCGCAATTAAAATGCCAATTGATGTGATCTGTTTCTTTGGAATGCTATCTGATGTTGCACACCCTGTTTAACACCCTATATATGGAACTTCTTACAACAGCCGGTCAACAAGGTAAAGAAAACCATCGACACTGATGAGAGATGTTGACCTGCTTAAAAATTTCAAACTAGTGTCTGAATTTTTGTCAATGAGAAGTCTGTTGTTTTTTTGTTGTTGTTTGTTTGTTTTGTAAAATCTTATTTGTTTACACAGTTTATGTGTGGCTTTAAAAAAAAAAAAGGAAAAAAACTAGACATGTAGAATTAAATTATGTGGATGAAATAACACCATTTTAAGTTTAGACTTTTTGTTTGTTTGTTTTTTGACAGACCAGCACATCTGATTAGTTGATGACAGTTTCTGATTTAGATAAATGCTGTCAAGGCTGTTTTTGTTTTTGTCTTTTTTTTTTTCTTTAAATAAATGCTGGTGGGATTTGTGGTTCAGGCTGTTAAACCTCAATTCATTTACCAAGTTTATTAGTCTGCGTGAGAACTCAACTCATGAAGTCATTGACTCTTGGAACCGCAGATGATGCATAAATTAGAGATTATGTTATCGTGTTGTACCATTATCTGTTTTTTATGTTCCCAAAACAGCTACCTGTTTTGTCACATAGACTGAACGCTTCAGTTAATTGATTTCCACAGAACAACCTCATCACAGCTAAAAATGTCAAAGTATATGACCATCTTATCTCAGGATGCTTTCTGATGTGACACTGCCTGTTCCATGCCCTTTCCAGGGAAATTCTGGTCAACAGGGTCAACCCACTGCGCAAAGACGCCAGTGACGTCTTTTTTTAGTCGTTTTTGGATGTCCAATTTTGGTCACATGCAGGTGCAGAGTGTAACGCCAGAAGACGTCTTGACTTGTTGTTGTAAATATGCGCTATACAAATAAAATTGAGTTGAGCTGAGTTGAGTATTTTTTCCCAACGTCTACTGAACGTCTAGTATTGACGTCCACAGGACCTCTGTATAAAGCCTAATTGTTGTCCAAATGTGGTCGTAATGGACGTCTTGTCCACGTCAAATTTAATCTAATTTTAGACAGTTTTTTATACCGCTTCTAGGCTCTGTGCATAACTGTAGTCCCATTTCAGAATGTGGCATACTGTTCCAGTTAATTTTCTCTATCGCTTTATTTGACTGTCTCAGCAGCAGATAACTGGAAATGCAAAGGTGTAATGCATTTCCAATTCAAAACCTGCTGCTGAGTCAAATGAAGCTACAGGAAAGTTGATTGATACAATTCAATTCAATTCAATTTTATTTGTATAGCGCATATTTACAACAACAAGTCATCTCATAGCGCTTCACAAAGGCAGAAACACCCAACAATCCAAAACATTTGGATTCCCTATAAGCTTCAGCAGTCTGAAAGCAGTCCAACAGTGGGAAGGAACCGAAAACCCCCGCAGGGGAAAAAAAACCTCAGACAGAACCAGGCTCAGGGAGGAACGGCCATCTGCCTCGACCGGTTGGGTGGGTGTGGGATGAATTATACAATTTACTGTACAGTTAAACAAGTTATTAGATACAGGAAACAGGTCTTCCACCTCTTGGAAACATGGGACTACAGTTATACACTGAAGTTTACAAATAAATCACAATTCAGTCCCCACCAGTGGTGTGCTGTCAGGGTCAGCAAGGCCTTCTCTGCTGGCCTAAACTCTATCAGAGTCACTGACTTAAATTGTAAAATGTCCCCATTAATCTTTTTACTTTGTTCCCAACAGTAGATTCTCTTCATTTAATAGCGTATCTCTGGGCTGTGGTACTTCCAGCAGTGTATGTTTGTATTAGAGCTTTTATTTAATCATATTTCAGTCATCATGTGTTGCCAGGGTCACAGAAATCTGCCCTGGGGCCTGAGGTTTAAATGTATTACAATGAAACTGTTGCTTTAACCAATCAGATTGAGAGTTGTTGGTCCCTGGGCCAGCTAGCTGGCCTACGATGACGTCAGCACTTTCACGTCCTCTGACTGGATGGTCAGAGAGCTCAGCCAAAGCTAGCGATTCCTATCTGTCGCGACCTGCACAAGCTAAAACTTTATTGTAAAGGAATTGCCTTTTTTTTTTAAAGTTAAACAAGCGGACATTCTCAGCCCTACAGCAAACTAAAACTTCTGGCAGAAACATAACTGGACAGCCCGACTTTCAGCATTAGCCTCCATGGTGATAGAACAGGACCTATTGTTGGAAGTGAAATGCACGGCTTACCTGCTCAACAGAGTGATTCAACTGTTTATGATGAAAGAAAGTTAGATAAGAAAAAGTTAGATATATTTTCTTAAAATTAGACAAATTTTCTTAAGCAAAAACTTGCTTGTCAAGATTATTTTACTTTTTAGACAAAAAATAAGAACAATTTCCCAGAAACAAGACTTTTTTACTTTATTAAAAATCCCTTTTTGCAGTGTAACAATGGAGCAAAGTGCAGTGTTTAAATAATGAACTCTATTAGCACAAAGCAGATAGCTCCTGTTCCACCCATCCAGTAACACTGGAAAGCCCCTACTATTCTACTGCTTGGATAGAAGCAACGCTTCATGATAAACTTTTTCCAAACATGACATGCACAGTATAACACTGACTAGGTAACACAGTCCATATGTACAACAGTGAAATTACAGCATTTTATAAATTACAGCGATATTTAATCTTGATAGAACCTTTGTGTTATACTGTCCGTACTGCAAGTCCAAAATATTCAGCAGCTCCTGATGTGCTCCTGAAGTTAGTGTTGACTAGACCTCCATAGACATTTATTGCAAGTCGAAACTGTCAACAGAAACTGAGTGGATCCTGAGTGTCTGATGTTATTCTAGATTTTAATGGACAATGACCTGGAATTACTCACTAACAGAAATTCATCCCTAAAAAAATATACTGGAAAATGGGCAGAGGCTACAGTCCCCGACGCAGCGGCTCATTTGCTGCATGTCATTCCCCCACTCTCCTCCCTACGTTTCTCTGTCTATCTTTCACTGTCACTATCAATAAAGGCGGAAAAGGCCAAAAACAAATCTAAAAAAAAATAAAAAAAATACTGGAAAATAATACCTTGAGTGGGAGAGGTCCTGCTGCTTTACATTTGGGATTAACAAAGATGTATTGCTAGAATATACTTCATTCTGAACAGTAATAAAGTATGCATTGATACTATTAAAAAATTGGTCATCAAAAATGTAAATTAACAAATCTTCACCTTCCACTCAATGTAGCATTTTCAAAATTTAAGACAAATTGAAATTATTAAATGTTATTGCTTGATTTTGTCTCTACAGCATATTGTAAGCAACGGGTTTTTCCCATTTACTTGAAACTGTCTGTAAACACCTTATTCCTTCATCCACTGTAGAATATTTTTATTTATGACAGACAGCCATGACAGTCTGAAAATGTCCAGAGCCTTAAGCATCTTGGGGAAAATCTCGTCCACACCTGGCACTTTGCTACCTTGGCGACCTCTACCACGGATATGGACGCAGAAACCCCTGGGTCTTCAGACTCTGACCCCTCAGCAAAGGACGTGTTTACCGGGTTCAGGAGTTCCTCAATGTGCTCCTGTGCTGGCTGTGATGTGTGGTTTGAAAAAAGCATATTTATACAAAATTTTCATACACAAAAAAATTGCATTTTTTCAAAGAAAAAATGCCTTTCAAACCCAGTAATCTGATGCACTTCAGAGTGTTAAAGCAGTATGTAAGCAAGTGAAAGATTTCTAGCAACTCAAGCATATATATTCTCATAATAAAAAGTGAGCAAATTATAAGACAACAATTGTGCTCCTGTAGTAAATGTTACATATCTGAATGATCAGTTTTACCTTAAACTTTGTGCTAATGGATCATATGGATTTTATATTTGTTGTTGTTGCTGGTTAAAAGTTATCATCAGCTTTGCAAAGTTATTTGAGTGTTACATGATTGTGTGTGGCTCAGTGGTTAGCACTGTTGCCTCGCAGCAAGAAGGTCGCCGGTTCTCTCTGCGTGGAGTTTGCATGTTCTCCCCGTGCAGCGTGGGTTCTCTCCGGGTTCTCC